GGATGCCCGTACCAACTCTGGATGTAAGTTCAGGGTTAACATAACTTATTTCTCCTGCTGCATTGTGACTGATGTGATTACTATTTTATTATTTTGACTGCTTTCAAGGTAACCTTTTCTGCCCTTTCTGTGTATTCAAGACAGTTGGTGAGTTGTGCCCATATTGCTTTGTAGTCACCCATGGGGGTAGGAGAGTGGAAGGGGAGGGATAGAGGACATTTAAAGAAAGAGCAGTTTGCTGGGCTCCCTCCAGAGACCCTCCTGTTGACCCTCTCATTATTTTTATCAACATTCTGTTTTCCCCTAGAGCTAGCTTGTGAGTGGTGGGAGCTGTCCCAGTCAACCTATCCCCAGAAGCCCCTGAGAGGACTCACCAGTGTCTCCCTGCCACAAACCCTCAGCCTGCCTTGGTAAAAAACTCCCACTTTGCGAAAGGCTTGGCACTGTTAGAGCCAGCACCCAGAACACACAATCTGATCTTTCAGGATCAAGCTCCATTTTGCATATGAGAAGCACGCTTTAAACCCTTGCTGAGGTTGACAGGTCTCCCAGGGCCATTTGGCTAACTTGGTGGCAGCCTCCTTGGGCTGAGTGGCAGCAGCAGGAGTCAGGAAACCTGTACGTTAGGGTAACTGCAGCCAGGATTTGCTAATAGAGACAATACCTTGCTCTGAAGGCTCGTTCCAGCTGCAGCCTGAAGCACACACGTTGAGAATGTATCACACAGAACTGTCAGTCAGTACTGGAGCCAGAAAATTGTTGTTTCAAATGTTACAGTACAGGAAAATCGCCTCTCTGCACTTGCTGCCAAAAAAATGACAGCTTAATTTATGCCACACTGAAGCTACATTACAGAGCCATTCAGCTTGGCAGTTAAGTACGCTCCATGCTCACATCTTCCCCCTGTGCAAGTGTATTGGGGAGAAATACACAGCGGCTATAATAAGGACAATTGGCCACAGGGTTTGCCATGTCAGTGGAACTAAATGCAGGTGAAACAGTATCAGCAGTAAAATACATCACCCCCACTTCATTTGCAAAACCCACCTCTGCAAATCTGGGGAAGACTTGGTGCAACATTTTTATGCATGGGATAGATTAGGGAGAGGACTGCTGGTGTCAACCACTGGGGTTTTATGGGGAGGGGAGGTGCCAGAGCATTATGGGTGACTTTGAAAATTATGTCGGTATCCTTGATGCAGACCTTCAGAACTTGGCCATGTTTTCCCTCCCTGAAATTAAAAACCAGATAGTATTATACTACGGCCAAGAATCTGTATTTTTCATCTCAATAGATATTAGAGTATGAATGATACACTAGTCTGTTTTAAAGAACCAAACCAAGCGATTATCAAGGTGGTATTCCATGCCTATCTCTGTGTTTTTCACACACACAAGTTCTCATCTATTCAAATATAAACGATATGACTTTTCCAGGCAATACTCTCTGAAAAGTTAGAGATTAACTAGAGATGCTCTTTTCTTCACATTCCCAGCTGTGAAACCTCCCTCATGTCACCTAAATCCTAATAGGCCAAAAGCCTAATTTATATTGACATTTCAGAGGCAAGCCCAGGGTCTCTTTGTACACATTTAATGTAAAGGAAGCCACCTTTTAAGAGTCCCTTTCATAGGTACCCTTTACAAAGAATGGCCACACAGAATTGGAACATTAATTGAGCTTCAGAATATTTTGCCAAGAAGAGATTTATGAGTAATTTACAAAATATTTATAAGGCAGCTCTTGTAAAATACCACAGCCTGAAGAAAGCTGGTCTGCTGTGGCTGGCTTCTCCCTGCTCAGTAAGCCATTCATAATAAAATGAGCTGCCCTCAAAAGAGAGCAAATGCATTTGCAATGCCTGTTGATGTGCTATAAATCATTCTCAATAAAACGACTCGCGGAGATAAATGATACATATCTATTTAATAATCCATTATCCAAAATAAATATTCTACCTTAAAATAAAGCAAATGCACTCGCTCTGGTTGTTGATGTGTTATTGCTGCTCAGGCTAATGGTAAAATGATTTGTAAAGTAGAGCTCTGGTACTGGGCATCATGTCCTGTGTGCTCAGGAGAGATTAATACCTCTTCATAACTCATCAACAGAAATACCTTAAAGTCAAAACACCAACCAAAACCTTCCCAAGGGTCTGTGACATGCTCATTTGAGCTTCTTCCCTGGGTGTCTTGAGTGGTCAGAACATGGACTTAGCATGGATCGACATGGGGTAAGGTCTAGTAGGCTATGCAAAAGCAGGCTAAGTACACAGATCTCTCATCTCTAGGAGTTCAGCATAGAAGACAGGCCATTGTGAGGCACACCAGAGCTACTATATAAGAAAAGCGCACATTTTCTTGTTTGTTTGTAGTCCTAGGGATCAAGTCCAGGGCCTCATACATACTAGACAAGTACTCTATCACCAAACCCATCTCTCAGTCTGCACTTTGCACTTTATAAAAGCAAGAAAAATTATTCTAAAAAGTTGACGCTCCAAATAGCATAGTTGTGGTCCTTCACACAATGTCCTTTTCTGCATAGCCCCTGGCTCAGCTCTTGGCTAAAAGCAAGAAAAATTATTCTAAAAAGTTGACGCTCCAAATAGCATAGTTGCGGTCCTTCACACAATGTCCTTTTCTGCATAGCCCCTGGCTCAGCTCTTGGACCTGCAGGTCACAGGCAAGATGACCTTGGGCGGATCAGCTTGGTGCTGCTTCCCTGGTCTGTACCCACTGGAGGAGGAACTCTTGGCTGATCTTCACAACTTCTTCTAGCTTCCAAACACCTAAAATTTTGAATGTTTTATTTTCTTTTACTATTTGAATCAATTATTTCTTTTCTTTTTTCCCTTGTCTTTTTTTTATTCCTCTTTTCTAGTTTTTTTTTTTTTTTAATTCTAAAAAGTAATGACTCTTTCCAGTCAAGCCTACACCATTACCCCACAAGGTTAGAACCTTAGAAGGGTGACTGTAGTCATATTTGGGGAATTGCTTATATCCAGTTTATCATCCAAATATTTATCATCCTCAGCCCAAACCACAGCTCCTGGCTTCCACTTGCCATCCTGAGCCAAGCACAAGAGAATCAGTGTAATCAGTGGCCTCTGGCCTGGTGGTATCTCCTCCTGCCTGGCTGCTTATCTACCATTCACAATCCTGCCTGCAACCTCAGTCTGTCACAGAACTCTCACCTAAAATTGAATGACAAGTGCAGTCCGTCTGATTAACTGACAGTTCCATAAACCCTTTCCACACCCCCATGTCATATGAGACATTCCCAGCTTATGTGCTGAGGTTTTTAATCCTCCTTAATTGGAAAATTTTTGTTGTTGTCTATGATACCTTAACAGCTTGATTGAGGACCTTCCTAGTAACCAATGCCTGACATACATTTCCACTGAGTCACAAGGAATTTTATTTTATGGTAATTGTTTCCCCTTAAAGTTTCATCAATTTACCAAAAAGGAGGCCATGTTGCAAAACCAAGCTGTATTATTCAACAGGAATGTATGAATAACTTCTCTGGGCTGTGTCGATGTTTAACAGAAGTAACTTTTGCCCCCAAGCATGTCAATGTTATTGGCTTATTGGACACCTTTTCATTTTTAGTAAAAGTCTCTGAGTTTCTATGCATTTCTTTGAAAATAGCATGGAACTCATTCTCTCATCAATAACATAGCACATATGTTATTAGGGTTGTGCCTTTATTACACCCTTGGCTCTCCCGAGGCAGAATGCCAGAAGGTAAGTAGCAAAGTATGGTTATCTCTTGGTAAAGTTTTAGTTTCAAGTTTTTCACTAAATTGTCCCGATATGAATGCTGGCTCCCATCTCTTCAAGAATGACAGCTCCCGAAACTATGGAAACAGCAGGTGTAATTCCTATCAATTATCTAGGCAAGGTGTGCAGCTTACCTGCTGGCTGGGCCACCTGCCCAACTGCCTGACGCCTCCCCTCCCACTGGCCTCCACATGGCTTCCCAATTTTGCTCTGAAGAAGCACCTTCTTCCTTCTCTACCCGAACTATTTTTTTTTTTTTAACTTGAGAAGTTAACTTTTCTTTTTTAACTTCTGAAGATGAAAGCAATTCCATAAAGATGTCCTGTCTAAGATGCCTAGTGCCCCATGAAACAAGGAACTGAAAGTTGATACTGAGAAACCAGTGAGAGTGTCTTGGCAAATATAAATAAAGATTTAGGCTCGAGAAATCGCCTTGTTAGAGATTGACTTGACACTCCATAGAGACTCTGGCCCATGAATGGGAACCCAAGTCCCAGTTAATTGGCAGGAAGCTCACAGAGTTCCCTGTCAAGGGGTACCTGGGGCATGGTGCAGCCAGAGCTCCATTGTCAGAGCATGTTTATATTTTGAAAACTCTGAAAGTCTTTGTAAGAAACCACTGATCACTAGAGCAATGGGCAGACCTATTTGAAACTCCGTGTATCCCAGCAAGTTGTATCTGTCTGAATTTTAACTCCCACCCTGTCATGCTAACCTAAGCCAGAGTACCCAATACCACAAAGCTTGCCACAACCCAACTCTGACTTTTTTTTCCTAATTCAAGCAAAGCTAAAAGTGGGGGTATGTATAGGATTTGAATTGAGTGATTTCTAAGTGGGTCTTGCAAAGGTGGGAATGGATTAAGATTGGGAAATGTGTGGCTTTGAACTGATAGACATGGATAAGAGAAGGTCTTGAAGCTAATTTTGATTAGCAGACTACTTTGGTTAGATTTCTATCATCACTTCTAAGAGCGGGAATCTCCTGGAACAAGCAGTTTTTAATATGTGGGCCTGGTATTCATTCTCTAGCGATGAGGAGTTCTGTTGATCTCCTTCCCAGGTTCTATACCTGTGGATCAGGTATCTTCCACTTGTGTCGACAGTACCAGGGAGAGAAATAGCCAGAAGTCCTCAAATAAACATACTTAGATTAACATATTAAAATAAGTCTCCATCTCCCCACCTTTCTTCCTTTCTTTTTTTAATATGTGGAAAGCCACTCAGACTGCAGTTTTTCCTTCTGACTCTCCCAAAGGAAGAGAACGATCATCAATGGTGAAAAGCAGTTGCAGCAAAGCAACACCAAGAGCCAGCTTCACGCTTGGGATACAACACTATCCTCGTGGTTTCCAGTACTCTACATAGTCAGAGAAACTTCTCTAGTAATCAACTATAGAAATAATCCCCCCATATATAGTCTTCTTTCTTCCATACTTAATACTCTCGACTCTGTCCTAGATTCCAGGCATGCATCTCCTTAGAGCATGCTTGTACTGCTCCATACCTGGAAACCTTGGGCCCATGTATCACAACCTTTCCTATTATCATACTTTATAATATGAAAGAGATCTTGATGGGGAGAACTTATCTTTGTTCAGTCCTTAAAACCGGAACCAGACCTGATACTGGCTGGTTTGGGATACTACAAATTATGTGATACTTCTTAAATCAAGACTACATACGAGGTTTTGATTTCTTCTGACCTATTATAAGAAACTTCTCATAGCTTGTCTTTTTTGTTCCCACATTGCTTATGTCCTCTGGTCAGTTTCTCTAGTTTACTCAGTTCTTTGTCTCTTGTTTACATCATCTAATACTTGAAACTGACAATGTATTTGTGTTTGACTTTACATTGGCCATAGTGACCCAGTCATGAGCTGGTTGTAAGTTCTTCCAGTAGTTTCAAGCTATTGCTTTTGTGGCTTTGTTTCCCCATGAAGAGGTAATCCCCCCTTCGAAATTCTGACCTGCCCCTGTCCCTGTGTGGCAACAGAGCAGATGCTTCCCAACAAGCTAGTCAAACTGGTCATTTAACTGTGCTCCAGTCTCTCAGGAAACATTAAAGTTTAAAATATTGTAACGACTATAAATTTCTAATTTTGGCATTCCAATTCCTGTTTTAAAATGAGAATGCTCCTGGGGTTGGATGTCGTTAGCGAGCCAGTGAGAAAGTAAGTTTGCGATGTCGAACCCCAAATAAGGATGGCTGATGGGAACGAGCTGCAGGACTGGGCACAAATCAAGACCCGAATGAAGGGACGAGCAATGGCTTCATCTCCTTAGCTGCAGTTCCAGCTTCACCTTTGCTTTCCTGGAAGTGTTGGCAGATCGTTGTTTCTCACTGGGCTGGTCTTGTTGGACACTGTGGCCTGTCTGTCTTCCTTCTCTGGGCTGTGGATTGGCCACTGGTGGCCTCCTGCATTTGTGGCAACATTTTTGAAACATATCAGAGAAGATGTACTTTCTGCTTAAAAAAGGAAGTTTGAATAACTGTTCAAATCACTTAGTTTTATATGATTGTTCACATACCTGCTAAGAGCTGTGAAACGCATTACTTCAGGGAATAAAAGCAGATGCTGTTCAAAGAAACTCTCAGTGCTGCTGCACCAGCAAGGGTTGGCTTTACCTTCTACCTGACTGGCTGCCAAGTGTAAATAAATAAAATAATCAAAACTTTTCCATGCATATTCCTTGTGCTACTGCTGACCACCACACGGTACTATAGAAACAAGGAAAAATGAAACCACTTTTAGCGGCTTATTGCATAAGCCTTTCAACATGGTCCAGAATTCAAGACCAGGTAAGACTAGGTTAACCCTTTCCAAGGAACAGAGAGTCCTCAGATGACTTCTCTTGAGATCCCTCTCACAGGCCAGTTTCTCCTTTTTTGTGTCCCCAACCTGATGCAGTGGAGAGGATTATCAGCCCTCTGTAATACAGAGCCGAGGCTGTGAGAAGAGGGACTAGATCCACTGATCTCTGACTGGATGCCTCATGATTATGTGCCTCTATTCCATAGATTCCCTGGGGATTAAATTTTGCCTACGAACTGCTGTGATATTAGTGAATAACTCAGGCAGCCCTGGTTGTTAGCTCTGTAATCTCTATCAACCATCTCCAGCCTAAACGTCTAGTATTTAGAACCAGAATGCCTGCTGTAGCTATAACTGTAGGATGACCCTTCTAGCCCTTTCTTGTTCCCAAGACTTCCTCCAAGAAAACTGCTTCCACCAGGCCCTCTTTGGTTGACGACCTACAACCCACGTGATACTAGTAGTCCTCAGGTTGTCTGTCTTACCTCAGTTCCAGTTTCTGTGTCTTAGGCGTGGGAATTGCAGCAAGGATGTAATAAAATTGTTGCGTAAATCACTTGTGGCTGAGCTAGTGCACCATAAGCACTTAGTGGGCACTCCTCAGTCTAATTTCTCCATAAGTAAATAGCTAAAATTCACAAACGCTCATCAATACTTCATATTGATCAATAAATAATGAAGATTTATTCCCAGGAAAGTTGCTTCAGCCAAAACATTCAATTCGTTTGCTTTTGCTGCTATTCTAATGTGGTGATACTTATTATGTGTCCCTAACTTTAAAAATGGAAAAACAAATAGTTTATAATGTATTTAACAATTGGTTCATAATGCAATTTGATATATAAAATGACCTAAACACTCCAATTTACACAGGCTGTAATATTAAATATTATTTACTATAGTGATAAAATTTGACCTTAAAGAAGTATTTAGGGGGCTCGGAAGATGGCTTAGTGGGCAAAGTGATTGCTATACAAGCATGAGGATCTTAGTTTGGATCTCCAGCACCCCTGTAAAAAATCTGGTCATGGTGCCACCCCAGCATTGTGGAGGAGGAGTGACAGGTGGATCTGGGGGCATCACTGGCCAGCTAGTCTGGATGAATTAGTGAGCTCCTGGTTCACTGAGAGACCCTGTCTGAAAAAAAAAGGTGGAGAGTGATTGTGAGAAACACCTGACATTGATCTCTGGCCTCCACAAGGTGAGCACACCCTCTCCTACACACAAAATAATAAAAAAGAGACTATTCAGCAACTCCTACTTATGTGGTAATTTCATAAGCATGAGGGCACCGTACAAAATGTCTGGATTTTAGGGCCTAATTTGCAGCTCCATGGTGGTTATAATCATTTCTGTAAGGGCAGGCACATTGCGATATTGATTTGTGTTTCTTCTGGCTATATTTATTATCCATTCCTGTTCCAAGCATGTTTTGAGTTCTTTTTTCTGGAAACAGAAGTTACTGCCGTGAGCAGAGAAAATCAGCTATTTGAAGTCAGTAGCATTTCTGTTCTTTGGTACAGGTCTAAAGTCATCATAACAAGGCCTTGGAGAGCAAGAGGAGAAATGGAAGTATCTCTTCAGTTTCAGAGAAAAGGAGGAGACTTCCCCCACAATAGGAAGAAGTGAGGTCTATAGGTTGCAGTAATGGTATAGACAGCTTGCAATGTCTCCACAGTGCCGCTTGCTGCCATCACATTGGGAAAGTAGTAGACTGTCTGAGGAAACAGCAGTGTGTTCCTCAGCAGATCACATGTAAGTATCATATTAGGGCTTCCATTCTCTGCAAAGATTTCTGGATTCTGAAAAACCACGGAAAGAGAATGCTGCCCGAATTCAAAGAGCACATAGACTTGTAGCTGGGTGGTGGTCCAATGGTTTAGAGTTTCTGCTAGTTTAGGTGTGTTTCTCTAATGAAAGAGGAATGGGGTGCCTGGAGAGATGGCTGAGCACCCAGTGGTTAAGAGCACTGGCTGCTCTTGCAGAAGACCCAGGTTCGATTCCCAGCAACCACATGGTGGTTAACGACCGTCCATAACTCCAGTTTCAGATGAATTCAAAGCTCTCTTCTGACCCCCATGGGCATCGCATCACATGGGTGCACTAACACACATGCAGGTAATACACTCGGACACATAAAACAAAAGTAATAAATAAAATATATTTTTTTAAAAAAAGAAAGATGGAAGGTGGGCCCAGTTGCTGCTTTCCTAGGAAGAGAGTTCAGGGTCAGAGTGGAGTTTATATTGATTTATAAAGAATTATAAAGAAACTGGAGTCTTGTAGACTAGTTTGTAAACAAATTGTGCTCCTGCTTTGCATGCCTTAGCAGATACTTTACACACGCTAGGTGCTTAGTAAATATTTTCTGAAAGAGTGTGAAATTGCACCTGGAAATTTATGGTGTCTTTGCTAATTAAGGTTTGCAAAACCAGGTAGGCACTCCCCTCAACAGATCTCAGAAACTATGTAGAAAGCCCTCACTTTAGTGATTAACAGTGATGTTGCCAAGAGGCCAGCCTGTGTTACAGAATATGTAGAAAAGAGTAAACAAAATAGTGCCAGTTCAGCTTGCAAATCTCTGTGTCACTAGCTAGCTGAAAGGGTGAGTTATGCCCTTGTTTAATTTGTCAGCATTTCAATTAGAACATCATTGGTGACCCTTCCTCCTGACACAGGCCATTTTGTTCTTGCAACACACTTGGCCATTGGCCACATTTTCCATTATTGATGAGGCAAATTTATGGATTGTAGATATAAATGATTTAATTGCACATATAAATGATTTAATTGCAGATTAGATAAATATGATGTAGACATTTCCAATCACATAATTAATTCAAAATATGATAATAATTTGATCCCATTTGTCAAAATTTGTTATTGCATTTTTAATTTACATTTGGAAAGATTTAATTAACTAAGTTCTAGGAGCTTAGGCAGGAATGAGCTGCCTTAAATCCATCCTAGAACAAGGCAGGATATAAGTAAATAAATGAATACACAATAGCAGATTATCCCTTTACTAAGATGATTTCTTTCCTCCAAAGATCACTTTTTCTCTTCCCAGAGAGTATGATGTTCTTATGGGTGACCCATCAAAGTCAAAATTAATAATCAGAAAAAAACTGTGTATCCTGATTTAAGAATCACATCCTTTGAAACTGTTCTTTAACTTAGACCAGGAATTCTTCCTGAAGTGGGAATCCTTCAGCTTGGATGGGAAAAGAATTCCATCCTCACTCATGATGCTCTACCAGTATTTAGCCTTTTCTTCAACTATTAACATTGGCAACAAATCACACAGTGTTAGTATTACCTGAACTGTCACTGATCTCAGCCTTGTTTCAACCTCATGTTGATAAAATGAATTAGGAGAGGTATGTATCATTTATATTACAATGATATATTTTAAATATCGATTTCCTTTATAGTCTTACGTATTTCACTTTATGCATTTAAAATATTCAGAGAATATGGAAGTGGTGGTACATGTCCTTAGTCCCAGCACTCAGGAGACAGAGGCAGGCAGATCTTTGTGTGATCAAGGCCAGCCTGGTCTATGTAGCAAGTTCCAGGCCAGCTGGGGCTATAGCAATATGCTGTCTCAA